ACTTTTATGGAAAGAAAATAAAAGTAATTCAGACATGAAGCCGACACGCTCAGTTACCGTCAGATTAACGGATCCACGTCCGAAAGGGGCTTCAGGGATTTTATTTTAGCTGCGCTTGTTTCACGTTTTCATCCACAGCTGCTGTATTTTACCTAAGAGGTGAAAGAAAAAATGAAAAAAGAGCAGATTTCTTAGTTTTTCCTGGTCTGCATTTAATTGGAAAACGGATTAAACTTTAATGCGTTTTTATTGTTTTCATCAACTTGCTGATTTAGACAGTTTAAGGTTTTGAAAGTATATATTTAGTCTTAATTTATGCAACAATTTCACGATTTATTTAGAATTATTTTGCCTAATTATGTTCACATTTTCCTAAACGCAGACGCTCTGGATGTCACACAAACCTCGCTGTAAATTTTAGCTGCTTGCGACACAGACACATCCGTGAGCGAGTCAGTGAAGGTCTTCGGGGTTTTGCCTTGGATTTGGGTGAGCGTCTGTAAGGACTGGCTAATCTTTTTCCCCCGCGGCTGCAGCACTTCAAAAGCTTCCCGCCGCGCACACAACAACCGCAGGATGTCGAACAGCGTCTGCAAATGGTTCTCAGCGTTTTGCGTTGCCTTCTCGCGAGAAGGTTCAACCAACAGCTGAGGATTATTTCTTAACTGCTGCTCGCTCCTGGCTTCCTCCCGTTTGCCCTTCCATGTATACGTGGAGTGTATATCACAGGTCATGCCCCACATTAAAGCCTGCACTTCGGCTGTATGTGTGTCCTCGCTGTGTGTTTTTTTTTTTTCCACCATTTCTAATTTCTGGAATGACTTGAGTGTCCTCTCCGTCGCCCCGGGCTGCTCTGTTCAATCTCGTCATCTTCATCCTTTCTGCTCGCTGATCCCTTCATTTCTTTTGTGCTTGTATCTTTCTCTTCTTGACCTTTTTTTTTATCACATCCTCTCCTCTTGTCTCCCCTTCAAGCTCCTATCCTCCTCCTCCTCCTCCTCCTCCTCATCTCCTCCTCCCCTGTTCGAGCTCTCAGTCTCTGACCTTCTCCTCACTTCTTCTTCCTCGCCGCCTCTCACATCGGCTCTTAACTTTAGCCGTTTCTTCACTCGTTTGTCTTTCTGCTTCCTTTATTCCTCCACGACTTTGAATCCTTTCATTCACCTTCTTTTCTCTGAGCGTCTCCTCTTTCTCCTCTCTTCCTCCATGACGAAATCGGCTTCCAACTGACCGGCCATGACGAAAATACAAACCCTAAATTACTCTTATTACTTCAAGAGGCTTGGTTACGATATGCAGCTAAAACTAATGCGGCCCTGCCATAAATCCTGCCGTCATGGAGCTCGTAATTTTTACTTTTTATGGCGGCGATGCTTTGGAGGCTGCAGCTTGTGGAGCTGCAGGACTTCCTACAAACAAGCCTCTCCGATGTTTAGCTTATTCCCGCAGATGTTAAATAACAGCAAAGCTTCTTTTTTGTGCTTTAAAATAAGTCCTCTCCCTGTCGTGGAATCTTTATTCCTCTTCCATGCATACAGTGGAGATCCGTCACAGCCTCCCGCTCGGAGCCATCAGTCAGAAAAACGCTGACCTCGTCCCAGAGTTCACTTGGACTCTGCAGCAGTTTGACACTGCAGGACTGCCGCTGTCACACAAGTCATGTCTCCGGCGTTGCATAAGAAATCGACTCTCGGGCTGCAGACAGAGGAGAGCAGGAGACTGGTTTAAATGTCTGGTGTAGTTATTAGAGCCCTTCTCTCGTTGTGAGAGTTTTGTTTTTTGACTTCTCATGAGATTAGTGAGATCGTGAGAGAATCCGTCCTGTGACGAAATACGAGGTGTGTCGGAAAAGTTCCAGGACTGGTGTCACTAAAGATATACTTCAAATACAAACTACAAACTTCCAAGTAATCCCCCTGGAGTCTAACACACTTCCCAGCCTTCTCTTCACGCCACCATGCACATCTGGAAGGATTCTTCTTCTCAGCTCCGTCATCACAGCCATCTTGATGTCGTCTTCTAAACGGGTCTCCTTGATGACCCCCTTGAGCTTAGGGAAGAGGAACCAATCCCACAGAGCCAGGTGGGCTGAGTAGGGAGGTTGCTCCAGCACGGAGATGTTCTCCTCAGACAGGAACTCAGGCCGTTGTGAGTCATGGTGAAGCAGCCACCACTGGTCCTGCCACAACTCCGCCTCCTCTCTGAACAAAGCAAACGCCTCAGGATCTCTTTGCTGGTTGATCATCTGAAGGGGAAAACTCCTCGTTTACAATTCTACAATTTCATTCAGCAGACTCTTTTATCCAAAGCAACGTACATCTGAGAGCAGATACAACACGAGCATGGATCTAGTCAGAAGAAAACAATCTGGATAAGAGCCACAGAACAAGTTCAAGTGTTTGAGGGCACTGATGCCAACAGCAGGCTGTGTGGAAGGTAATCGGGGGTTTTATTGGTTTGTTTGTTTTCAGTCTGTCAAGTGCAAAGGTGTTCAGTGAAGAGCTGGTCTTTAGTCTTTTCTCAAAGAATCAGCAGATTGAACAGAGTTTGGTAACTCGTTCCATCACCGTGGAACCACAGAGGAGAGTCCAGCTGTCGACCTCGAGCCCTGATGTGGTGGTCGCATTAAAAAATCGACTCTCAGGTTGTGGTTGGAAATATGTCTTTAGTGACACCAGTCCTGGAACTTTTCTGACTCACCTGCTGAAACAATAAGAGCTTGTGAGAAGGGGTTTAAAAGAGATCCAGATCCATTTCGTCTTCACACAATCTGTCTGTCCCTCATCTCGATCTTTGCTTCATGCCTTTGAAAACATCTCCTACACGTCACTCGTTGCAGGTATAAGATCAGTTTGTTTGTTTTAAGCCGCGTTGACGTCCATCAACTCGTTCCTCCTCTTTTCGACCGTCTCTGCATTCGGTTTGAGCATTACACCAGCATCTCACCATCAGTGTCTCCTGCAGATGACAGTAAACGGCCTCCGAAAGCGCCGACATTTGGAGACTTCCTGTCCCAGGGCCGGAGCCAGGGGCCCCGAGGGGACCGGAGCCGAGGGAAGGGCCGAGGACAGAAACAGAGCTACAGGTACATCTGTTAGTCCTGTTGGTATTGTAGGACTTTGAATGGGATGTTTAGACGTTTGTTTTGCTTCAAAACATGGCCGGAAAACCTCATAAAAGACGGCGCTGGTGTTAATGTTCCTGCTTACCGTATAATCTGTAAAATAACAAAAAATTACCCCAAAAAACGGCAGAATTTTAAATGTCATCTTTTAACTTGCTGTTTATTTTGACTAATCTTGAGAAGCTAAAACCTTGAGCACACGTTTAGCATTTTAATTAAACACGTAGCTTCAAACAAGTCGTTATTATACACGGTCTAATAACTCACGCCTGCTTATTATATTTTCCATTTGTTGGCCTGTTAATACGAATCCAACGTTCATTAATGGTTCCACACGTTGCTGCTAATATTGAGGATGTTATTTTGATTTGTGATATTTTACATCGGCGCGAGTCTGTCTGTGAAAACACTTTTTTTTTTTTTTTTTAGTCAGGTGTTGTTTGAGAGTTTTTCTAACACCGATGTGCTCCGAAACCTCTGACGAATCTTTGACAGCATGCACGACAACCGCTGGGAGGGCGAGAAGGAAGAGGAGGAGAAGGAGAAGGAGGACAAGACGAAGAGGGAGGAGAAGACGGAGAAGACGGAGAAGACCAAGAAGACGGAGAAGGAGGACGACAAACCCAAACCTGCCTCAGCGCAGAAGGTAAACGGGCTTCATGTGGATTAATAGTGACGTTAAATTAGCTGATTGTAGCAGGAAACTAAACTGTTTTACTGCCAACTGATGGAGATGACTTAAAAAAACACGGGCAATTCAGTCACTTAGAGCAAAATATATGCTCACTATAAACAGCTAAGATTTTTTCCCCACAGCTCCTCTTTGAGTTTGCAGACGCTTAAGCCAGCAGCTCGCTGGATCAGTGAAATATGGTGGAGAGCTTCTGCAGAACCAGATACTTCCCTCCAAACCGACTGCTCCAGAAATGTGTAAACAGTTGTTAGCTAACAGGTTTACCTCAAAAGGCCGACTCATGCTCTCTGCATCGATATCCAACGACTGTGCATTTGCCAGGAAAAGAATTGGTACGAGGAGATTCACACCTTCGTAATTCAGTCATTTCAAGCCGTTATGAAATGCTTTGTGATACCTCTGCTGGAAAAAGAACCTGTAAAAAACATCAACGCAGTCTCACTACAGAAAGTCACGAAGCATGTAAATGTTTGAATCGCTGTATAAAGAAAGGTTTGGTGTTGGTTAGGGGAGACGATATTTGTAAAGACTTTAATTCTCCACCTCCAAGCCGGCAGACAGAGTTGTGATCAAAGTAGTCGCTGCAGGACTTTGGAGGAACTTTGACCAGACAGAGTAGGAAGTTCTAAGATCTCCACAAGTCCTGCCTGCTGTGCTTGGACATATCCACCGACGTGTTGCTACAGTCCAAACTGTCGGTAGCTGCTGCGTTCTGTCCTGTTTGTAGTGTTCGAACAATGCAAACATCTGCACAGACCAGCATGGACCTAGTTTACAACCTCAGAAAGCATAAACTGGCTCTTCCAGCTTGAGTCCGCCGCCACCAAGCTGCCAAAATAAATGTCTTTGCAGGATTCAGATTGCCAACTCGTCGTTTCTGTAATTATTTACTTCAATATAACTGCCAGCATCACTTTCTACTGTTCTGTTCAAGTCTTACTTAAGCTGACAGATTTTATTTTCAGTCATGTATCAGACTTTCAGCTTATTGCTTTTCTACTTTTTAGGCACTTGTTTTGTTTTTTTCTGGGCGACATCTGGCTCAGGAACATCCTTCCTGATTCATGAAGTCTTGTCTTTCTTGTCCTCAGGCGGAGGAGAAGAACGGAGACGGAGAGGAGGACGAAGACGAATGGGAGGACGCCAGCGACGGAGAGGACGACGACGGAGCGCCGGAGGAAGGCAGCGACTCAGAGCACGACTCCAGAGGCGACGAGAAGAAAGACGCCGGCAAAGAGAAGCGAGCGAAGAGCAGGGACGGCTCGGCGACGTCCCCCAAACACCGCTCTCGACCCACGTCGGCGGGGAGCCCCAAGGAGCAGCGGACCCCCCGGCCCAAGGTCCACATCCCCCCGCCGGCGGCAGCTCAGGACTCGCCGGAGGGAGGGAAGCCGCTCAGCCCCTTCTCCCCGCTGGACGGCCACCAGCCGGTGTCCGACTGGGGCGAGGAGATGGAGATGCTGTCGCCCCGCAGCAGCATGGGAGGAGAGAGTCCGCTGAAGCCCCCCAGCGCCGAGTCCAGCCCCCCGCAGAAGAAGAACCAGGAGGAGGTGGACCAGGCTGGAAGTGGAGCTGCTGAGCCACAGAAGGAGGTGGACGCAGGTAGGACCCTGAGCAAACACTGATAGAGGATTGTTACGGGGATTCCTCAGTCGCGCATATTTTTCATTGATCCACATGTGAGCTTCAGCTCTGCTTCGATTCAGAGTCTGAATCTGGTCACTGAGCTGTTCCCAGTGTAACGGCAGATGTTTGTTGGCTGCAGTCCGTCTTTGTGCCGCCTGTCGTCTGGATTTGTCTGAACCTTTAGATGGGAAGTTGGTTAGAAAAGAAAAATGCTGTTTGAAACGTCGCTCTCCTTGATTCTCGTCTCACGTTTCCTTGTTTCTTCCTCACTTCCTCCATCCTTGCCTCCTTGTCCTCAGCCACAGACGTTTCCTCTCCTCCAGAAACCCCGCAGACTCAGATAGAACCAGAACCAGAACCAGAGTCAGTCCCTGCAGAATCCCCGGCTGCACCGCCGTCTGACCCCGCCCCTGCTGCTGTTTCTGACCCCGCCCCTGCTGCTGTTTCTGACTCCGCCCCTTCCATTGTTTCTGACTCCGCCCCTTCCGTCACCGTCACCGAGGCTGCCGAGGAGATGGACCAGGACTCACCTGATGCTCCGTCACCAGGTAAAGAGGAAACCAACAACATTTGTGTTTATACTTTAAGTACTTCCTGTTTCATGCAGCGTGCATACAAGTACTACTGTGTCATAACACTGCGCCTTATACTTTGACATACATGACATAAGAGGATTGTGGGTCAGAACAACCACAGAAACATGCAGGCTTGCAAACTGCAAAATCCAGCTGGATAGAGTGGGTCATCGGGGTATTATTGGTGTGCTACGATCATTAAAAGGACTTTACATGTTAAAAAAAATTTTAAAAAGCAGTATAGACAAGTTGAATACAGCATAAAATGAACAGGCTGAAATAGGACTAGAATAGAAAAGTAATACTGCATACATGAATTTAGAATACTGCACCTGAAAAAAGCAGGTTTGCACAATTACTGAAGCTGATATTACACATACGAGGTGTGTCAGAAAAGTTCCAGGACTGGTGTCACTAAAGATGTATCTCAAACCCAACCCAAGTCCTTCAGAGTAATCCTCCTGGAGTCTAACCCACTTCCCCAGCCTTCTCTTCACACCACCATCCACTCCTGGAAGGATTCTTCTTCTCAGCTCCGTCGTCACAGCCATCTTGATGTCGTCTTCTGAACGGGTCCCCTTGATGACCCCCTTGAGCTTGGGGAAGAGGAAACAATCCCACGGAGCCAGGTGGGGTGAGCAGGGAGGTTGCTCCAGCATGGAGATGTTCTTCTCAGCCAGGAGCTGTGCTCAGGGCGTTGAGAGTCATGGTGAAGCAGCCTCCACTGGTCCTGTCACAACTCTGCCTCTTCTCTGAATGAAGCAAACGTCTCAGGATCTCTTTGTAGACGTGCTGGTTGATCATCTGAAGGGGAAAACTCTAGTTTGGGTTTGAAATATGTCTTTTGTGACACCAGATCCATTTTTTCTTCACACACTCTGTCCCTCATCTAGATCTTTGCTTCATGCCTTTGAAAACATCTCCTACACGTCACTCGTTGCAGGTATAAGATCAGTTTTTAAAGCCGCGTTGACGTCCATCACCTCGTTCCTCCTCTTTTCAGTTTGAGTGTTACACCAACATCTCACTGAATCTATCTTTTGTGACACCGGTCCTGAAACTTTTCTGACTCACCTCGTATTCGACCGACTCAGCGCCTCAGTGGAAGCTGGATGAGCTTCAACGTTTGTACTCGGTTTAAATCAGTTAAAAGGCGACACAGAGCACAGAAAGTTCACACAGAAAGTCTTTTTTTTTTTTTCTTCTTCTCTCTGACAGCAGATGAACCCGACAGCCCTCCTTCTCCTCCTCCTCCTGCCGTCCTGGAGGCCGAACAGAGCAGCTCTGAACCAGCAGCAGAGACCGACAACGACGACTCGGCGCCTCCCGGGACCGACGCTGCTCCGACGGCAGAACCGGAGCAGACGTCCTCAGGTGCGGTCCTTATCGCTGACTTTGAGACGGTGTCGTACTGTAAGAAAGCGCTCGTCTAACTGCACCCCCTCCTCACGCTTCCTCTTTATTTCGGTGAATGGTTTTCCTGTCGTGGCTCTCTCTCACTCTTGCTTTCTTTTTTTTTTTTGTGTGTGTTCCCTCTAAATAAATAATGACGGGAGCCGTTTGGTGGCTTTGACACACCCAAAGATATATTTATACCCTCGCTTGTGTGCACGACATCCTGCCTGGTTTTTGGATCTGACACCAGTCCGACCAGCCAATCAAAACCCTGCTTCCTGTTTGAAACTCCTCCCGCTCCTCCGTCTGTGATGGACTTAACTCCTCCTCCTGTGATTGTGTTTGTTGTATGGACTCCCCGTGTGCTGCATCCTGCTCCTCCTCCGCCGCCTCCTCCTCCTGTGTTCACCCCGTTTTCCCCTTTTTTTTGTTTTCATGTGCTGTGATGGAAATGCTGCATGGCACGGCTGTCCGCATCACCGAACCCGTCAGTCTCTCTCCTTCCTGGACTTAATCTGAGTTTTGTTAACTAATTAATGAGGATGTGAAGGAGTCAGATGTGAGCTGTATCATTCATGGCATCCAAGGAACCACACAAACAAACATTTCTGCTGCTACCTTTTTATATTTAGGAATCAAACACTTACCTGCTCTTGGGTTTTTGGGTCTGTAGTGACGTCCTTCGTCGATTTGTGGGCACAGAACGTCCCGACTAAACCTGGACTTTAGACGGTGCACAGATTGAGAAGGTGGCGCCTCAGCCAACATGGATGACTTCCACGATACCCGAGCAGAGCCAGAGGAGAGGTTTTTGTTGTCAGCTTCCCTTTCAGCGTCGCTTTAGGGACGCTCGGTTGGTCCATCATTAGACTGACATTTTCTAAAAACAAAACATGCAGCTGAATCCTAGTTTCCTCTGTTGTTTCCCCCGATGCTACTATTCAGATTCAGACTAAAATATCTTTACAATCATTTGGATCGTCATGAAATTTGGCCCCCCAGCTGATACATCGCTGTTAAACTCGTTCTTCTGATGCAAAACCTAATTTTATCAATTTTATTTGACGCCGGCAGATTAAACCTCAGTTGTATGTTTTGTCCTAATTAGCAAATATTAGCATGCTAGTGCCGTTAAATCGCAAACGTTCTCTTTCTCCCTTCAGTACTATGTGTAATCTTCCAAAGTACGTAGCCTTGCATGCAGGATGCATACAGTTAGGACGTATGTTTGGCATTCTGCATTTGGTATATGGGATCGAGAAACTGTTTGCACATCTGTTTCATCAGATAGTTGCACAGAAGAGCGAGGCGTATTGAAGAAAAATTAGTAAATCTTATTTTTCTAATAAGAATTACGATTTGCAAATCATAAAAAAGCTGCAATTTCTGATTCACGACATGCAGCAAATGGGCTAAACTGGCGATATTTCACGTGATAAAGCTCCATCACTAGTTTTAAATCTAATACACTGAATATTCAACTGAAGTTTGACTTTAAACAATTAAATCTGTCAGAAAAATCACAAATCTTACTGTCTAACTTGCAAAAATGAATCTTCATTTCCTACATCAGGGCATGAATCCTAGTGATTAGATTCTCTCATTTTTATGATTCTAACTTGTTCGTTGTTGAAAATCGTCAGAGTGAAATTATCTTTTAGGATTCACGTCTTCCTGGAGCACATGAATGTGTTTTTGCAGGTTAGACAGATGCGTGCTGTGTTCTATGGTCTGGTAGAGAGGAGGCTGGAGTGCAGCCTTGATATCGATGCTGTACGCAGTAAATTAAACGCTAAATTGGACCATAATGAGTTCTGATGGTTCCTTCTTGCCATGAATGCAGCAAACCTTCAGCTTCCTGCTTCATAACCTGGTTTCTGTGCACGGCTCCACTGATCATCTGTTGTTGTTCGTTCCCTGTTTGCTGCTCTCAAACTTCGAATGTAAAGACGTCTGTCTCGCTGCTGGACGTCAGACCAGAGCTCTCCTGTAAATCACACCGCCGCTCACTTTGATCCGAAGCACTTCGCGGCACCGCCAACCGTCGGCGGGCTCGTTTCCAGCATGTCGATGTTTTTCTGTCCTCGCTGAGCCTCGTTGTCCCCGCCAGCCATTCGTCCTTCTGATTTCTGCACGCGGCGGTTTAAAAGTGAGCTAAGTGAATAAACCGCAGACCGGAGGCAGCCCTGTCATTAGGCCTCCTCTTGCAGCCACTTAGATTGCGACTGTGGGATTATCACTTTGGATAATGGCGAAGTTTAAACCGTAAATACTCAGCTGGGAGTTTTTAGCGAGGAAACCAAATTAGAAGTTAGAAAGTGCTGCTTAAATTCTCTAAAAGTAAAGTTTAAAAAAAAAAAAACGGAAAGGTGATTCTTTAAGTGCTGAAATTCTGAATTTTTATCTGAAAAACTACTTAGATGTTAATTTCCAGCATAATAAAGAACCAGTTGAGCCAAATTTGTGACCAAGCAGGTATAATTTGTGTCTCTGGTTAAAGCTTTTTGAGTTTATTTAGAGTTTTTTCTAACAGCAGCTGCAGCAAGAAGCTTAAATTCATCGAGCAAATGAATCATCTGTTAATTTTATCATCAATTCTGGAAGTTTTTAAGCAAAAAAAAAAGCAAATTTTCTTGCCGTTAGCTTGTCCAATGTGAGGATTTGATGATTTTCACGTCTTCGTAGGAAGTCTCGCTGCATTATTAATGAAAAACAAAGTGTTTGTTTGGACCTTTTATAACAGCTGCTGCAGCAAGAAGCTTAAATTAGTTGAACAAATGAATCCTTTAATCAGTTCTGTGATTTTTCTTGTCGATTATTATGACCGGAGCTTCTCCAGTGGGAGGATGTGATGCTTTTAAACCGACACCTGAAGGTTGTGATGAGACATTTTCACTATTTTCTAACATTTCTTAGACAAAACAGTCGATTAACAGTCAGAACAATGAGCAGATAAACCCAGTATTGTGTAATTTACCTAAAACAAAAGCTCCAGTTGAGTGTTTTTATGTTTTTAGACTTGTGGCTAAAACATTCTTAATTTTTATTACCGTAACATCAACCCGTTTTGAGTTGAAGGAGCGGTTTCTGCAGCCTTTCCTTTGTGTTTTTTTGGTGTAAAAGGTTGATTGCGGTTGCACTCGTAATGACTCAGAAGTCGGATGAGCTCACCGTGTGTGTGCGCTCGTGTAACAAGTGTGTGCGTCGGCGTTGTTGTGTGCGTCGGTGTCGGGGTGGAGATCAGGAAACCAGGGAAATTAGAGGCACAATTAAGGTTTTAAAAGGCTTTTGAGAGGAAATGAGCTACAGGCTGCCGGACAGATGATAGCGCAGATAGAAGGGAGGCCGTTTGAAGTCTGATTGAATTAAATCTTGTGATGTTTCTGAGGCGGGGAGTCGGCCTGGATGGAGGCGAGTTACGTAAAACGCTTCAAGTAGCAGCAAACAACTGTTAAACTAGAACTGGTGCAAATTCAGAAAATGAGGCGTTCTAGGAAAAGTTAGCCTCACTGAAGAATACAAACTGTTTTCAAACTAATCTGTCATTTAGAGGAAGCTCCATGCACAGATTTAATGACAAAACTAGTTAGCATGCAGCGATACGACAGTTTCATTGATTATTTTAGTGCAAACTCTGACATTTTGGGGAAATACGCTTATTTTCTTTCTTTGCTCGATAGATTTGTTCATGCTTCTGTGGTTTATATAAAGCTACTGCCACCAATCTGATAATTTAGCTTCACGTAAAGACTGAAAACAGCTAGCTTAGCACGATCCGAAGATAGGAAAATCCTGCCTCCAAGAATTATTAACGTATAGTAGCTCGCTGGTTTAATTTGTGCTAAAACCAGAGAAACAAAATGACAAATGAACAGTTTTTGCACAGCGTTTAATGTTGGTTCTAGCTAGGAAACAGCGAGTTTGTAGTTGTTTTGCTTTTACGCAGATGTTTTTTTTAGTTTTAGGTTTTAGTTTTGTCCGTTTTCTCAAAAGCATATGTAAATAAATTAACCGAACAATGCTCATCACAACCTCCAGAGCCTGATAAACGCTAAAACATTTGACATTTTTGCTGTTTCACTGTTGTGAAAACTGTCGAGACACAAACCTTCTACATCTCACCGCGGCCTGAACGTTTACTCCTCGTGACAGGGAGCTTAATGTGTTATTGAACCGCTAAATGCTGTTTCATTTTAGGAGGCGACTTACAGGTCCGGATGTGTCGGTGTACGTGTGGTGTTTTTGCAGCTGCGCGATTGAGTATCGATTATCAGCCACCGTCAATGTGATAATTCCTCCCGTCCGGCTGCAGACGGGCCGAACGTGCAGAGAGACGGCGGCGTTCGCTGCCAAGTGCTTCGGGGAAAAGCTTTGACAGTGAGACCAAACGCACACGTTTTTGCAGAGTGTGTGATTGTCCTGCGCCGCCGCTGTGTTTGTACCAACAGGCTGAAGCTGCAGACTCGCTTCTGAGGAGGACGAAGGAGGACGAAGAGCTTCACTCATCACTGGATCACATATCTGAATCAAAAGAAAGAGAAAATGACTTGAACCTGAGAAGCAGGAGGAGGAGGAGGAGGAGGAACTGTGCATCGCCTCCATGGACCAACCTCTTTTTAGCGCGCTGAGCTGTTTGTTTGTTTTCTGTTTGTTTTTTTTTAAAGTCTGACAGTGTTTCACTTCACTGTGTTTAGTCACAAAAAGTCAGAAGTCAGTCAAAGGTTTTCTGCACCGACAGAATGGACTGATTTGTTTTTGTTCATGTGTTGAGGGGCGGGGGGGCAAAAAAAAATCACTTTTTCGCGCCCTCAGACCCTCACAGAAGTCAGGAATAAGTCATTTAATCCCTCAGAGATATTGAATCAGACTCCGCCTGGCAGCTCCGACCAGCCGACCCGTCTGTGAGTTGAGAGAGAACGGTGAAATGTTCTGGCAGCTTCAGGAACGCACGTGGCTCATTTCTGTGCCGGTTTTAAAA